GGCTCCTGCCTTCCTGAGCAGACACCTGGCTTTTCAAACCAAGTTACAAGGCTTAAAACTGTCAGGTGTCCTTGAGTTTCAGGCTTAGAGAGGAATTGTTTTATCTGAATAAAATGGGAGAACAGCAGCTGACAGGCTAAGAAGTTTTAGAGTTATGCACTAAAGCAGTACAGGGTCTGAAAAATAGAAAAGCTAAATCCTAAGGCATCACTGGTCCATCCCACCCACAGGAATATTCCACAGGAAATTCTCCCTGCTGGCCACTTGAATCCCACATTGTTTCTTTGTGCACCACAGAGGTGCTGGGAATTGCTGCTTTGCACAAAGGTCCCTGCTAAAATGCTGCCTCAAGTAACAAAATTAAAATACCAAATATATCAAAGAGCAAAGATTATTTCAGGCCCCACAGATGCAACCACAAAAACTGACCCAGGAGTGCAGCCTTGCTGAGTCAGGTGTTGGGCCTCTCCAGGGAGATCCACAGAAAATCCTGACACATCTGGGCTGGGAAAGGACTTCAGAATCACAGATTCCTCCCAGTGAGCCAAATGTCCTCCAGACTGGCCCCACAGTGGCTCTGCATTGGCAGAGAAATGGGGTGACAATAAAGCACTGAGTGTGGCCTGATTCTGTATCAGACTTGGGACCAAACCTGTGAGGTTCCACCACCCCCTGAGCATCCCAGGCCTCCTCTTGCTTATGAACTTTCCAGCCTCCCATCCTGCAGGAATTTTTCTTTCCCCTTCCCTTCTAGCACACAGGATTTTCAGGCCTGGATGGTTTTCAGAAGACTCTGGTAGGGCACTCCTGGAAACTCTGGATTTCACGTTTCCTTCCCTGATAGGACACTGCTGGGAGCTCTGGAGTTTACATTTCTTTCCCTGGTAGGACACGGTTGGAACTCTGGATTTTACATTTCTCCCCTGGTGGGACGCTGCTGTGAACTCTGGATTTTGCATTTCTTTCCCTGGTAGGACAGTGCTGGATTCTACATTTCTTTCCCTGGTAGGACACGGTTGGAACTCTGGATTTTACATTTCTGTCCCTGGTAGGGCACTGCTGTGAAATCTGAATTTTGCGTTTCTGTCCGTGGTAGGGCACTGCTGAGAACTCTGGATTTTGCATTTCTTTCCCATTAGATCACTGGATTTTACATTTCTTTACCATTAGAACACTGGATTTTACATTTCTTCCCCATTAGAACCCTGCTGTGATATCTGGATTTTGCATTTCTTTCCCATTAGAACACTGCTGAGAACTCTGGTTTGTACATTTCCTTCCCTGGTAGAGCACTGCTGAGATATCTGGATTTTACATTTCTTTCCCATTAGAGCACTGCTGAGATCTCTGGATTTTACATTTCTTTCCCTGGTAGAACACTGCTGAGAACTCTGGATTTCACATTTCTTTCCCTGGTAGAACACTGCTGAGAACTCTGGATTTTACATTTCTTTCCCTGGTAGAACACTGCTGTGATATCTGGATTTT